ATAGTTTCATCCATTCTAAATCAAGTTTTTCATTATTCTCAGCCCTGTCGTCCCGGTAATAAATGTTTACAACCCGGCCAATTTAGCCTCATTAATAAGTGTTTGTAAGCACCTACCGCATTACTCGCCGCTAATTTACGGCCGATTTGACACGAAACTAAAAATTGTTGAAAAAACTAGGTCATCAGCGTAAAAAGACGAGACGCCTGTAATTGCCTTGTAATTTTCTCTGACAATGACTCGACTTCCATGAAGGCGATAGCCACAGACAACAAAAGCTGCAATCACTGTAGTACTTGGTAAATAAAAGGCGATATTATTTTACAGCTTTTATCTTCGAGACAATATCGCATTTTTGAATGCTTCACTGGAATAAATTCAAAATTACCGAATTTATTAGATTCCAAGCTGGTAATTTATGTTGGAGCTACCTGGAATTAGCTACCGAGCTACCCGCCTCTAGTACAAGATGTGTATCGCGACCTCGCCCAAAACATTCAATTTTGATTGGTCGAAACGGTCATTTCTCATGATTGATAGGATTTTGGGCACTTTTTGCTACCGAAAGGATGCCCAAAGGCATGGATACTTGTAATTAACCTAATAATTTATTCAATTTTTATTAGATTGGTAGTGGTGATAAATGATTATAATACATGGATGAATACGGGATGGTGGGTCTCGGTTCTTTTGTTACATTCTTTCTGTTATTACAGTTGTTTTGTTAGCGCGAGAGTTAGAAAAATTCATCACGGACTGAAATGAAAATCGACTTGAATAGCAATTGATCGGATTTGAATTAAGAAATGAGAAGATTTGTGGATTGGTCTCAAGGTTGCATGAATAAACGACTGGCATTTTTAATAAGAACTGATTGGAAAATAAGGCGAAAAATTCTCACACTTACACACTACCTATACAGAGTGTTTCAACTTGAATTTCAACAGCACTTGCACTTATTTGTACAGAGTGAGACCCTAACCGATTTTCAGACGCAACCCAAAATACATTCTGGATACCTCTAGACGTTAATTGACGTTCTATTAAGATATAAACATAGAAAACTGTGATAACTTTGACAGTTTTTATAAAATGGCGTCCTACGGTGTACTTTTGACGGTGCTACAGCATTTTGTGACATTCTCCCTTTATCATGTCAGTTTTTTCGTCGTTTGAGCACATTTTAAACTGAAGGGAACAAAAGTGGAATGATAACACTGTAAAATTTAATGAATAAGATATCAACTATTTTGATTTAAATTTGATAATCTATAGATTTTTCAAACATAACAAAAGCCAAGTTGTCTGTCAGAATATATTTTGGGTTGCGTTTGAAAATCAGTCAGGGTCTCATTATAAATGACTCAGCCAAAATATCAAACTTCAACGTAGTCAATAAATTATAAATTATTTCTGAAACACTGCATTGAAACAAATTTCAATCTATTCATTTTCTTTTATAAAAAAACAAACTCTAAAAGGTGTGACTTTATTGGTTACCAATTTATTCTTTTTTTAAATCACCAAATATATAACATGATTACATTTATTATCAGAATTATAAGTCTGACACCAAATGAGTAACACCAAACAATTTTAATTATTATCGAATTATTGTTAAACTATTTGATGATTATTTTTAATTGAGGGTCAGAAGCTAAAAGGTACAAGTCGGTTTCTTTTCAATATTGAATCTGCTGAAAACTTGAAACTACATAATACCTGTAGGTATATTTATTTACCTATTAGTGTATGTAAAAAAAGTCTAATTTATCGCTGGGAAATTTACACCTTGTCATAAACTTAGCAATAAAATAGTGATTCTTTATTATGACATCACAACAATCGTAACCATTTGAACCCGAGCAAAAAACACGTTGACACTTGATTAATTAGACCACTTGTTTTCAAAAAATGTCCCGACTAAACAATAAATTAATTCGTTCCATTTATTTCCGCTTAAAACACAAGTGCATCCATTAAAAAATACAACGTTTAATTAAAGGCATAATTTATTTAAAATTTTCAAATTGGTCCCATTGTTAAGCAAAGGACTTCACGCTTGACACAGTTGAAAACATTCTTTAATAAAATTAATGTAACTTAATCGTAATGATTAAGTAATAACAAAAAGTGAAAAACAAGTTCGTATGAAGTAGAGTTCCTTTATTAAGTATTAAGTAAGTATTTTTTTATTTTTTATTCAAATATAGAAACTGTAGTATGAAATAGTTGGTAACAATGGAAATAAAAAAAAACACCTGTAATAAAAGATTTTTATATACATATTACAATAATGATTTTAGAATTATTTTTGTATTTCACAGTTCACAACGTTGCGTTGTCATTCCTGCCAAATGAAAAATTCTCCGAAACAATTGAAATTTTTAACAAAATTATATAGGAAATGGGTCTAGCATTAATGTTTTTTTGTATTGTAAAGGCCATTACTTATCCAATGTGATTCAGCTCCTAACGTTCCATCTTCCCTGTCATTATAATAATGCAGGTAGACACTACAAATTACCCTCAAATGTTAACTTTTTTCCATCGGCCATAATTCAAGTCGCTCGACTCGTCCCATTACCATATAATAACCTCCCAGCCTAATAACAACAGCATCTCTACGACTCCACAACACCATATCCCAACGCGAAAAACTCCCTCTTGTCGCAATTTTTCAGGCACGCGTCGAATTCACCATGCGATAATTGAAAGGAAATACATGTTTTGGCGTTTCGCACGCATATCGAAAAGGGTATCTCTGCCCGATTCCTTAATTATTGTAATTTATGTGGCGCATAAAGCCATAATCTGCTCGGTAATATCGCCGTGATGAAACGTATTGGACTATAATGTGAGCCCAGGTCTTGCAGGCTGGTTCTTGCAGGCGTTGCTCGAAGAATGCCCCGGGTTATATCACGATGATAGCCCCACGAGGGGGCGCGGGGGCCGACAGATGACCGCGAGTCACTGACTCGAAGCGGGAGTTCAAGGAGATGCGGACACACCAGAGGCTCTCAACAGTGGGAGATGAGGACGCAGTATATGTAAACAGATGGATGGACCTACGACAATACGACACACAGATGCTGATGCTTTACGGTGAGGAGTGAATTGGTGCACCATGGCAGGACGAGGTGAATGGCAATAACTCGAGGCTATCACATTACGCATAAATTTATCACATCAGTTTATGACAATTTCTATTTTTATTATTAATTAATATACAGTATGTCCCCGGATTGATATTAGACCAAAACTGCAAAGAAAAAATATTTTTTGACAACGTTGTCACTTTGACCATTGGCGGACACGGAATTTTGGACATCAAATTTATGTCAGTTCAAAAAATGTCAATGTAAGCCACGCTTTATTGTCGTTATAATTGACGTTTGAAACTAAAATTTGAAAGTTTTAGTTGAAATTTATTTTTGACGTCGATTTTCCGAAACAATGATGCCAGCAATATGTGTTTTTATATTAGTTCAATACATTATTTTGATTTGTTGTCATTTTTTCTCGAGCAATTAGGATAAAAATTACAAAAACCGAAAATGAGGTTAGTTGCCTAAGGCCGGTTTTACATTTTTATGTCAATCGAATGACAAATTGTCCAAAATTCCGTGTCCGCCAGTGTATTATCCAAGTTAAATAACAAAAATGTCTGCAAAAAAACATAATTTTAATAAATGGCAATTCAAAAAGACATCTTTAAGATAAAAAAACAGTTATTTTTACCAAGAACAATCGTTATTCAATTAATTAATTAATTGTCAAACTGACATCGTAGTCAAAACAGTAAAGCCGTCAGTGTATTTAAAAAGTAGAGAATAGTATATTATAGTTGTAGTAGTATAGAATACATATTATAGTAGTAGTACCTATAGTATAGGGTGAATATAAAGTATGGAACCAAGCGGTTTTATTTTTAATCATTTGCCTCCAGAAAATCATAATTAATATAAATTAGAGTAATATAAAAAATGTGATCGTATTTTCAAAACGAAATTTTGTTTTGTTTTTGAGCTATGCGATTTTTTTTTGTCAAAATTGCAATTTATGTAAAAAATTTCTTTGAAAAAATTAAATATAAAGTAGATACGAGTAGTTGTAATCCTTAGCGTATAGGTTTTATGAGAAAAATTATTTTATAGTGGGTTGCCATTTAAAAAAAATATTTTTTTGTAGAACTCAAAAACAAAAGTAAATTTCGAAATTCTTGTTAAATCATCACATTTTTATTGTACTTTATCACTCATCAATTAGTTTTTTTTTTAAATAAATAGTTTAAGCAAAAAACGTTTGGTTCCATACTTTTTATTCACCTGGTACATATATCACAAGGTAGAAAAGAGATTTTTATTTATTTTAATTTAATTAAAGCGAGGCTATAAAAATCTTCTCTACAGTGTTTTATGTTTTATATATTTTTTTTTCACTACTAGCACATTTGTTAACTAAAAATACAACGGTGAAAAATATAACTCTACTTAATGGACATGTTGCCTCAGACATGTTGTAATTCACAACTACTATTTTTGTTAATTCACTAGTACCTACAGTAATTAATTACTTATCTGAATTATTTACTTAATTTGGAAGTATTATTTTATTCTTATCACAAATGAGGTTGTACATCTGCAACTATTAAAGGTTTTTTATACTTAACTTCATAATATTTGTTAGAATGCCAAAAAAAAGAGAAAAAGTGTTAAAATTTGCCTCACTACAGTTAGTATTTTAACAAGAAATACCCATTTGTTGTTTTAACAGTTTTGACATAGACAGAGGATTAGAGTTGGGGTTATTCTGATGTTTTTAATGAGGAAATTTAAGTTTTTTTTTATTTGATTTTGCATTAATTTCGAAATACTTCCGTTAGTACTTATGATGGTAATATTTTTCAATAATAATATTCTAGAAATATTTGAATCAATGTAATATTTTTTTGTTTTTTTGTACTCAAGCAAACTTCTGTTTCATGGCTGGTTATCGAGGATATTTCCTGACGGCACCAGCAGTTTCCAATCCAATGGAAGGACATGCCGACAAGCATTTTTTTACGTTTCATAAGCATACAAAACTTCACAAGTGGTGGCGAAATGTCTGCAAAATTGAGGATTGCCCTTGCAAAAAGGTATTATTGTGTTTTGCGCCTGATGGAGACAGGCAACGCATGCCAACACTGACTGATTTTGTTATTAATAATTTAAATTTGGAAAAATTTAAGTTGTAAATTATTGATAGTTTGCAATAAAAAAAGTAAACAAAATTTGTATTTTATTACCTTGAAACTGCTTTATAATTGCAAAATTTGCAACGAATCTTGCAAGGAAATAATCGATAATAGCAAATAAAAGCACTGTTGGCTTGTTGTTAACCAGAAATTTACTCCAATGGTATCCTTTAAAAATTAGAATCAGGGTTGTCAACAAAAAGTCATTCTGGATCACTTTGTAGGTATGGTTAAAGCCGAGATCCTTGTAATTTATTTTATGTAGGAGACTAATTTTTACAGGAAAAACTCAATAACTAAGCGTAACAGAACCATGACCTTTTTTAATTACATATACAGGGTGATTCTTAAATAGACCGACAAAATTTTATCCTTGGTAGTATTAAATGAGTACATGCTGGAAGAAATATTAAAAAAATTCTTTGTTTAACCGTTCTCCAAATAAATTATATTAAAGTTATTTTTGAGGTAAAGCGTACGCCACTGATGTTTTCGTAAATAGTATTAGCACAGGTGGAAACCATGGTATTAATTTGATCATAATGTACTTGAACATTGCAACAATTCATAAACGCCGTAAGCGGCACGGATCAAGGGGGTTATGCCCCTAAAAGATATAAACGTAAAAAGGGTACAGTTTGTCTTCATTTATCCTTGGGAAGCTGTAATAAAATTTTGTCGGTTTATTTAAGAATCACCCTGTATGGAAAATGAAAGTTTTTTAACCGAGATTTTGTACGACAGTAATTCTAGAGAGACAGTTATAAACGCCTATCTTTATCCATCTAGGTAATTTATTCGATTTGTTGTGATTAAGAAACCCAGAAAAGTCAATTTAAAAAAGCATTCTCAATCTTTCTTGAAGTACCAATAAAGATTTAATTGTCGTTGCTTTATTATTCCGCTCATAAAGCACGCGATATTTGCAATAATTAAACTTAATCGTTTTATGACATTTGTAAATCTATCTAATTGCTGTTGTAGGAGTCTGATATGTCCAAGAAACTCGGAGATAGTAACGCATTTGCGTGGGATGCGAAGATTGCAGCACGTGTCGTTGACAATATCAAATTCGCAATAAATATTTCTCATTTCTCCCCCCAAGAGTTTTATGTCGCTTGTATTCTAACCTTTCTTTTCAAGTGGAGCTGTCTCAAAGATCTACAAATGGAATAATTTTTTTGACTAAAAAATCTTTTTGGAACATTGCCATAATTAGTAACCGCTGGCACTTACAGAAACACTGCTGGAGACGATTTTATGCAGATTTTATGAACACTCTACATAATAATCTCCAGCAATGGCTGCATCATCACAGCTTCCATTTTATTCGTTCTTTATTCAAATTTATGATAATGTCGTTCCTATTTATGACCCCGGCGCGCAGCATGGCGTAGGTGGTGCACCATACTTTCTACGACTTTAACATCTTTACCTTTTTCTCTCTTTTCCATCAACATAAAATCACTAATAGCTCTAATCCTCGAACACACGCGAGCTTTTAACTCTTTAAAATTTTTCAACACTCGTAGAAAAAAACCGAAGTGGAAGAGTAACCACAAACGTGGCTGCTAATCAGCCTCGAAAACGGCCAGTGGTGGACCCAAACACTCACGCAAAATACATGTCATTCTTAATCTTTTTGTTTTGTATCCAATTAAAATAAAAACACAAAAGATGAGTACCAGAATTTGATTTTATTAAATTTTAAAAACTTAAAAAATAAGGTCACAAAAATTAACTCTCAATTTCAATTATTTCGAAAAGTAAAATTTTATCAGAGTTTTCGCATGTAGGTAAATAAGCTGGGGTCAGGCCCCCTTCACACCGCCCCAGTGCGCCACTGAAGCGCTTCACGTCTCCGTTTTGTTTGCAATGACTAACCGTCACTAATGTCCGTCATTTAATGTAAATAAAACTATTGGGAATAATGAGTAAAACCGTAAATATTTGCTGAGTTTAGTGCTCAGTCATCGATAACGAGACAAATAAAGCGCCTTCGTATGCACTAGGGGGCTTTGTTTGGAGGCCGCTGGTACGATGCGTAACACGGTGGAAACCACGCTCTTCTTCTTCTTCTCCTCCTCGGCAACGCTGCGCTCCCGCAGATCTAAAGAATAACGAGCCACTACGTTACTTATTACTTTGTTTAGTTTACGGATAATTTGTTTACCAGCAGGTACCACGGCTACCGAAACGTGACCCATTCTCGACACAAAATTTCACTCTGGAATTATAAAAACACAAAAAGACCATGGGACAGGTGGATGGGTAACACAGGTAGCCGGCTCGAGGACCCCTTGCTCCCCAAAAACGCCCACTTATTACCACATTGAAAAAATCAAAATGGTCATTTTATTTGATTTTATTGAGGAACTCGACAATAGAAAGTGTAATTTGTTTTTTAATTAAGTATTCGTTTCCACATTGAGTAGGTAATATATGAATCGATTTTACTATACGTCAATGATAAAGTTGGCAGCAATGAGATTAAATACAACGCGAGCAGTCGGCAATACCAACATCACTAAAAAAAAAACACTCGAAAAATAGTTTTTTTCCACCCAAAAATATTTACTACTGTAGTCGATTTGGCTTCGCTTAGTATTTTTCTAATAAACATTTGCTTTGTGTACTAACTTAAGTTGGAAATTTCAAAACTTACTATTGTCTTAACAACACATTATTAGTAAAAACTAAAATTTATCAGATTTTCAAAGTTCACTGTGTCAGTCATCATTTTCACGAATCTAATTTGAATTGTTCTAAGGGACATAACGTTGGAAACTGTATAAATTAGTATTTTCCTTAATTAGGTTGGTGATAATTAAAAAAATAAATATTTGTAGAAAGTCAATTTGCACTTGAACACATTGTAAACCCAGTTTCTGGATAAAAAGCTTTCATCAAACGTTTGTGGTCACCCACTGTGCCAACCTAACAAAAGAAAAACGTTCAAGACTCTTGGACTTGAAATAATTACAGTTGCGGCTGCTGCATCTGGAGCTTATCGAGTAATCATAAAAATCCATAATTACGTACTAAGTCACTGCAGACTTTTATCATGAGAACCACATTTTATTGTCTATAAAACTTATAATTTATGACACCCCTCTTAATCGATGCGTTGGAGAAAAGTCAATTTTTTCGACTGGATTTTGGAAAAAATGGCAACAATCGGCACTTATCTCGCTATAATAAATCAGACGAGCACCTAGAAGCTTGAATATGCCCCATAATGAGTCTTACACGAGTCGTAAATGCTGTCAAAAGTCGGGCAATAAAACCCCAAATTCGTATATCTTCACTTTACAACCACCCAAATCATTTTTAACGCGACAGGAATTTTATGAGACTTTTTGGAAAAATCGTGATATAAATCACGGTTTCAAATTATAGGTGTAGTATTCACAGAAGACACGCCTGCTTTAAGACGCGTTTTTTTCCATTTTTGTCAAATGGGAATATCACTGCAGGCGAGGAGATAAAAACGAGTGGTGAGCAGAAACCATTAGCGCTATCCAATATTGGGCGTTCCTTGATGCTACCGGCAATAAATCCAACCACAATGGGCACTTTAAAAAATCAAAAATCTTCGATGGGTTGGTATGGCCTTGTCTAATGCTACCACCAGAAAAAATGCCTTACGTGCTCGGGCGAGACTTATGTTATTAATTCTGACTGAGACGTAAGTAATGGGTCTGTAGTACGATGGTACAGACATCCAGCTTATTGCATTATCCACGGGCTACTGGGTACGGTTGTACGTTATATATTTTATGTCAAATGGGTTGGCATGTTGGCGGATTTTCTACGTTCATTTTTTAACGCCTTACACAAGCGTTATTTCAACAATAAATTCAACGAGTTTTGTTTTTACTCTCACAGCTTTCAACTCGTATGGCACGGCTTACAGCCGAACCAATTGGTAGGTATGATGATGGATCGCTGAATTATTATATCACACATAAGACGCATTGTGTGAGGATGATGCAAGAATGAAAATATTCCAAAAACATAGTGTAAAATCAACAAAAAGAATTACTAAATCCATTACAATAAAGCAAGAAAAATTGGAAAAAATTCTTAGCAATGATGAAACCTCTAATTAGCTTTTTTTTATCGCAAACGCATGATACGTCATTGTGCAATAGTTACGCAACATCTTTTAAATTAAAAATAATTCATTTGTAAAAGTCCATCAATAGAATTTATTAAAAAAGAGAAATAACATCGAGTAGGTCGCGTTGTCAAACGTCAATAAACAATTTTTGTAATAATCAACGTGTTGTGCCCAAACTTTGTCACCGTGTCCAGTTTTTTGGCCCTGAAGCTCCAAACTAATTACTGAAATTTGTTTCAATGAGCGAAAACTCGGCCTGAAAGTAAGTTTTTCATGAAATAATTGCATAACTGCGTCAATAATTCGTATTTTGAAAATTTGGTGTCACTGTCGCCATCTACCGACCATGTCACCAACCACAAAGGACGCTACCAGCGCCATTTTGATTAACAAAGTAGACTGTCTAGTTTCGAATATTTAACCTTCACCCATTTTTACAAATTATTTTGAAAAAAATAATAACACAGTGAAGTGACCGTTGGTAAAAATGTTTATTTGTTTAAAAAATATATTGAATTAATGAGAAATCGAAAGCTGTCAAGCTAATTGCACATTGTGGTAAGTCATTTAAATGGACGACAAAACAAAGTTTGTTTTTGGAACTTGGGCGCAATTTTGGAGTTTAATTTTGCACAAAATCGTTAACTAATACTCATCTAAGGGCACTATTGGTAAAGGCTGCGTTCTGTAGCTCCTCCTTTGGTAGGAGGCAAAACGTCTTTTCACAGGACTTGGCAAACATTTACATTCGTTTTGGTCAAAATATGAGCCAGTGGAACACTGCATTGTTTCTCTACACTGGCATGCACATAAATCAGGGTTCCATAATTTGGTCAAACTGTTTTTGTTACACTTTTTCTCTTCATCATAATTTATACAGGCACACCTACATTCTGACTTTCTGTACTCTTGAAATTTGTTACAATCCTAGAAGAAACCCATAAACACACTCAAATATACAACAAGTTTTCCCCCAATTACCTCAGCTCTGATTTTACAATCACATTTACATTTTGTGTGTTTTTCAACCAAAACAACTTCCTTATTTAAGACTTTTAATTTTTTACCTCCTGTATATTGCGTTTTAATGACCTACAAGACTGTTATCAAAAGTAAATCAAGAGAGTTTTACTGACCTTGAAAGGGATTTCTTCTTTTGTTTCTGGTTGACATGCTAAGAGATTATGAGAACAACAGCCCCCACATCTTTCTACCCTAGTACACTGAGGGATATACAAAACACTTGGATCTTCAGAAGTTGCTATTTTTACTGTCTGTAGTTCAGGCATGCAAGGTGCCCCCTTTGGGATAGTAGCAGCACCTGAAAAAGTTATTGTTACTGCACTTTTAGGAAAATTCTTACAAAACTTACTTCTTTCTTCTGCCTCATTTCCCCCAAACCTATCTAAAAAATATTTTAACTCAATTACATTTTTTTCAGGAAATGGAAAACTACACTAAGGAGCAAAAGGATTCAGCAAAGGAAGTTCTCGAATTTTACGTCGACATTTTCGAGAATCACAATTCAACTGTAAAATATTTTCTTGCAGAAAATGTTGTCCTTGATTGGTTTGGTAAAACAATCAAAGGCAACAAAAAGGTGTCCTTATTTCTTAAAGACCAAGTCTGTAAAGTAACTCATCACATAACTAACACAAGCCCTAGTGAAAAAGTAGCGTTTAAAGAGAGTCATCATGTAAAAGTGCCAAAGTAAGTCGTTTTTAAAATACTATTGACAAAAAATAATTATTGTGTCTAGGGAAGAAAACGTACAATTAATCTCTTCCCCTGTAAATACGGAAACAACGCCACCAAAGCAAACCCAGCCATCTACAAGTATGTTAGAAATAGGTCAAGGTGATGGTCCTGACAACAGCCCCTTGATGTCGCCGCGTAAGAAAATGAAATTTGATTCAGTGGAAGAAACTGAAACAGTCGAGAGCGAGTCAGAAATTTCACCATTGAAATGTCTCACTGCTGAAGGTAGTGTTGAATTTCACAAGCCTAGCTCGAAAAAACTCCAAACTGAGACAAAATGGCGAAGGCCTGTGAAATTACACTTAGGGTATACAAAAAGTAGCTTTAGAGACTGTACCATCTATCTAATAATTTATGAAAGTAATCTCAAATGTCGCCGAAATTTATATAAAGAATTTTGTGAAGATAATTCAAGCACAAAACCTTCGTAGTGCAATTGTTTACTTTTTGTTGTGCACATTGTGCAACTTCTAAGTTTATTATAACTTTTTTTTATGTATTCTGTACTAGATTTTGTGATTGGCGTGCCTGACATGACAAATTTATTTTTTTAAGAAAAACTTTGTATTTTTGTTACAAAAAAATAAATACCTTGAAGGAAAATACCGTCTTCTTCTATGTAATTTAGTAATAAGTCGCTGACGTTGTGTTGGTTGAGGTCTTGGATGAAATCCAAGGGAATCTGCAAGGAAATTTAAGGTTAAGTGCAAATCATGATGAACGTTTTTATTCACATAAAGTATGGACTTACTGTACGCAGAAATTATCTAGAATCATTCCTATACCAATTAAAAACGAAAACTCAACAAAAAAAGTTAACATTTTAGTTAAAATTGCAATTTTTATGCAATACTTGCACAACACATTCGTAAAACTCGATAATCAAGGCGCCAAAATAGTTCGGGAGGACCAACCTAAGCCCAGAAAAGTCCCAACCAGCTAAAGGCGGCTATTTCTAATAACTTTTTTATTATTTAATTAAATTAATATTAAATGATATAAATTTTATAAATTTATGTGATTTGAAAATAAATAATATTACAATATAAAAAACTATTAAAATGCTTATAAGTTATTATTTATTTTCATAGGTAATGCATTTTTAATTATTTACATAACGGGAATTCCGACTATAAATAAATAACAAAACCTAACAGTACCTCATGTTTTGTAAGCGTTTTGTTACCTGAGATGTCCCATTAGCCCCCTCACTCTGACTGTTTTCCTCCACTTCACCCATCTCATCATCATTATCAAAATAATTATGAAATCCGTGATGGTGGTGGTGGTGGTGAAAATGCGTATAATCTTCTTTAATCTTTAAATCATCGGGAGCGACACCCATATCTTTTTGGGCCGCATTAGTACCCACGGTTATTAGTACCACCAATGTACTCAGCAACATTACGCACATCTTGTTTACGTATTGAAAGTTAATTAGGAAAGTGGACAGGTTTAGACCAAGCGCAGGTTGGGATGGAACTGATGGTCAAGTTTTGATTTGCGAAGGTGATTGAGTAAGATGTGGGTTTCACCTTTTCGCGTTGATAAGGACAAGTTAGATAGGTGGAAATGATGGGTTTTGGGAGCGGAACCAGCGGAAGCAGTCGTGATAGTGACATCCAAATTTCGCAATGAGATAAACAGACAATATAACTGGTTTTTGAGTTTCTAATAAACATTTTTGTTGTCTCATCAACTACATTTTACAAATATTCTTCTTAGGAAAAGTTTGGGACAGGCTCGTGCAAAGTCCCGTGCGGTTAAAGCGACTGCAAATATTTTTAGATTTCTTGTAAAATGACTCAGAGAGAAATCACTCATTTTTTCATACGATTGGCGTCAATGATTGCAATAAAAATTTCTTTTGTGCAAGTTCTACGCAAAACAAGACGTGTTAAAAGCACAACATGACTCATTTCCCGCACAATTTCCTCGCTGAAAACTCAATTTTTCCATTATCTAATGTTGTTATTGTCCGCGATGGTTTGCATGACAATGGAAGACCAAAACACAATAAAACCGCACGCCTGCGCTACTCAAATCCACGTTTGATCAATGTGTTACAGGTGAACCATGAGAGACTCTTCACTAAGGGTAGAGTCGTGCAGTGGAGTGCCTTCCGGGGCCACCGACCCTGCGACGTCTCTCCGGTATGACATGGTTGAGTGGTCTTCTACTCTTATCACTGATTATCAACACCCAATCGGAATCGGTCGACATTGACCACTCTTTTGCGTCACGTGTGTATGGAACAGGTGATTGTCTATTGTTAGAATTTTTTATTTTGCACCTTTGCATGGTAGAATGAGTGATGGGCAAATTTAAACAGACCTACTTAGGAGAAGCATGCAATGCACGCAAATAGGTCACTTGAAACTTTTTGTTTACTTTTTTTTGTTTGTGATGAGTTCATGGAACTCGATCAAAATCGTGCTTGGTACCGGAATCTCTAGCAAAATACCTGGAATTGATTTAACATCAACGTTACAGAGTTACTCCTCTTGGAGAGTGATTACCAAAACCAGAAAACATACAAGTTTGAGGATTTTTTCTGGACTGGCTCTGGCGATGGGTCTGATGATGAATACCCATGGACTGATAAACCGACAACCATTTACAAAACCAAAACCGTCCTTTCGACTATTTATCTTGAACCATCGACAATGATAAATACAACCACCAAATGTTCATTTAATTGTGAAACTCCAGTTACCACAACTGAAGAAATCACTCCAACCCCAACTCAGCCCCCTGATGACGACTTCTTAAATGCCGACCGTCATTTTTGGTTGTTAACAGTATTAAAAAGTGATGGCAAAGATCCCGTCATTATTGATCTCAAAAATAGTTTAGCTAAACTATATAAAACCGCATTTCAAAGACAACAGGAACGTCACTTAGGGATCGTAAACCGTGATAAAAGAGACGCTAAAAGTCTGGACAAACCGGTCAAGGTCTACATCCACAATGTTGAGAAAAGTAAAATAAACGGTGACGAAAAAATCGAAGTCCTTTATCACGTTTCAGTTTCGGGAAAACCGGTTGATGCTGTAACTGCAGCCGCAGACATGACTTTGATAACCGACGACGAAGTCAGGAACGAATTAGGATATCCTTTCCTCATCAAAGCCGAACGTACAAATCAATATCTTGCGTTGAAATATGTTCAAAAATAATTTTTTCAGCGTATTTGAAGCCACCAGCCCCTCAAGGCCTCTCCCGTTCAAAAAACACCTGGATTTTCATCGGAGTTTCAATCGTGGCTCTTTTAGCAATTCTCCTGGTTGTGGCTTTCCTAACCTTAGCTCTAACAAAGCGTAAAAAACGCCCCTCGTCTGGTATGGAAAATCGGAGGCAAATTTTCGAACGGGGGGCTATTAATGAACCTAAACCGGACCAATCACCCACTTATATTAATTTCCGAAACCAGCCGTCGAATCAGACACTCAGGAGCGTCTCCGCGACAAGACCCCGAAGTTCAATAAGCTCGAGTTCGGCCAGGTCAGTTGCACCACCGTCATTAAAGTCACTCTAATCCAATTTCAGTTCGACGAGTCTTGATATTTCCCCACTAATGGCTTTGAAAAAGCAACGAACTCCCCCGAAGCCCCCACGTCCTAAAGCTGCGACTAATTTGAAAAGAATCGCGCCGGAGCTTTTGGATTCCGATAGTAATGGGAGTAAAAGAGAGTCACCTGAGACGATTTACGATCCGGGGGTGGTAAGCCCCAAGTCGTATTTATCTATGCCGTCAGTTAAGGCTTTTCCCAGGTAAGGATTAAATACAAATTGGAAAATAATTATTGGAAAACGGCTTTATAGAGGATGTATGCCGGAACCTTTGAACAAAGTTTTGGAACCGGTGAGTGTCTTACATTTGGATATGCCGGACGATGATGGGCTTCTCCGAGGCGAAAGAACCGACTCTAGGTATGGTTTAAGAAGACATGGGAGTTTTGGGGCTATGGAAGATCCAGGAGTTATAGGGCCCGTCGTGTGGAACATGCACTGCCAGCGATTGCAACACGGTAATTTATAATTTTTAAATTAATTATACTTTAGGGGCTAGGGGAAAATATGGACAGGTTTTGTTGGTTACATGACCAATGTAAGGAACATACATTACGACATTAAAGTTTACGCAAATTAAACACACAACAAACAGTCATTATCTTTACGTACAAAACAAGCTTATGTTGCCTAATTTGTTTATTTAAAACCAAAAAAGAATTGTAAGGTATTATTGGTTGCATAAGATATATATTATTAGTTGCATAACTAAGATTTTTTTTTGACGTTAAATTCAAGGAAAATTAATTGCGTTGTAAATTTAATTGACGTAAACATAATAATTATTCCTGTAATTTGCTTATTTAAAACCAGAACTTTTAAAATTGTGTTTTTGATTTCATATACTCAGGGTGTTGCTGGTTGCATAGTTATAATTTATTAAAATAATTAAAAAAGAAGTGTTTTACCTATTAACCCTATTAATCTCAGAATTAAAGGAAAACGAGCCACAAACTTTTCTATAAAACATTTTTTTATTAGAAACTAGATTGATTTATTTTGAATGGTATTATTGGTTGCATAACTACAATTTATTGAAGAAACTAAAAAACATGTTTTATGATAATAAATTACTTTAAATTTATAATTAAAAAAACATAAAACAAACAAAAAATAAGGTTTTTCTACATACAAAATTTATTTATAACAAGTTTGTTTTTTAGTTGTATTATTGGTTGCATAACGCATGAAACTTCAATTTATTTTCTGCAATTTGGATGTTTGTAGAAATCTTTTATGAAAACTTTTATTTTCTCCAAGCTTTAGATTCAACTGGTCATAAAAGTACAAAGTTTCTATCCATCAATACAATATTCACACTTTAATTTCGAACCTTATGTTATATTATTGGTTGCATATCCGCACATTTCTTTTTGCATTTTTAAAGGGGTGAGTGTGGACGAGGGTATCGACGACCTAAAAGTGCCCTCCAACGTCTCCCGTATGCGTAAACGCTTCCACGATCTTCTCGACGACACTTTCAGCCTTTTCGGCAGCCGGCGTGAGAGCCCCTCCAAACCGCCCCCAATCGAGGTCAAAAGCCACTCAGCCGTTAATAGGTAACCCCATACTTTCTTATTACACTTCCATTTAATCATATTTTTTAGACCCAACGATGATACCCAACCTACAGTCCGCCCCCGGCCGAAAACCACCGATCCTCGCCGAATGCTACCATCCCCGGGAAGTACCAAACCGAAAGGCGCGTGGGCTAGCACGGCCCCTTCGCCCCTTATCCGACCCCTCAGTGCCGACATAACCCCGAAAATCAATGTCGAGCATATTTTAGCGGAGGGAAAGTTCAGAGCCAATGATCCTGCAGTGCCTTTAATCGCGGCTATTAAAAGCGAAATAGAGAAATGTTCGCTGCCGGGGAGTACCACAGATGTTAGAAAGTAGATGTTTTTGTTGTTTATTTATTTGATTTGTTATATTACAAACGTAACAAATTTAAATATATTTGAAAAACTCGCCGAGGATTGATAGTTTCTGGAGGAATGGTTGGGCCTTGCAAGTGAGTAGCTTGTAATTGGTCTCCCATGTTGTGTTTCGATTGTTTTTACTTTCGGTACGGAAACGTTCCAACATTTCTTGCTCGTCGAATTTTTTACCCGACTTTGATTTCTTGTTTTCTTCATTTTTCAGGGTCACATTTTCTTCGAAATTGATTTTCTGACTGACATTATCATTGTCCTCTAACTTGACGTAACTATTGCTCGATTCTGTTGTGATTTCATCAACGGCAATTTCATCAGTTTTATTTGAAATAGCTTTATCTTCATCTTCTGTTTCAGGACAAACATTTTTATTGATATAATTCCTGCGTTCATTGATACTATCACCACGAAAAAGACTCTTCTTCTCTTCGAGATCATTAAAATTTACTAAATTTAACTTGGGCATATCATGGCAACAATGCAAAGCGGCAGGGTCAAGTGGATGAGCTTCAGTGTTGAAAATATAACCCCCAGTCTCAATAATACATTCCCCATTTGGGGTATTAATGACAGTTCCATGTTGGCCTTGATTATGAATAAAATTTTCTGTGTCAAAAAGAAGATACAAATATTTTGTAGTCTCAGAAAGGAAAAAAGATTCCATTCTATCTTCCTTTCTATGATCCCTGACATCCTTAATAGTGGCATAGCCACAAGGTGTCCTTGCGCTATGCTGAATACTCCGTAAGATATCTTCACCAGCTTGAAGCAAAAACGGATCTTCGGTAGCCCTATAGAGGTACATAATTGATTCAATTAACTCCGGTCTTAGAGGGTAACTCTCCCTATTAGTCCCGGCTTCAGATTGAGGAATGTAATAAAATTCAGGGGTAAAACCATACTGGAGCCACACTTGATGGTAATTGTGTAGAGTCTTCATTGCAGAACTTGTATCACCTGTTTTTATTAGTAAATTTGAGTCAACAAAAAATAATTATTTACCAATCAGACTTAACACTCCAGGCCAATAGGCTTCCAGTGACTGAAATACTGGTATCGTGACCTGACCTTTAGTCATAGAAACCCACATATACCAATCGTCCTTTTTCAAATATTTATCAATTGATTTTCTCGCTTCGTGAAACATTTCTAATAATTCCGGCCGTTGCAATAAAATCGAACCCTTGACCAAATATTCAAAAAATGAGTCAACCCCTGATCCTATCCCTGCGTCCTGATAGGTCCAACGCCCTGTTTCCACGTCAATATGGTTGCCATAAAGGCCTAACGGCGATTTGTGGTTGTAAAGGGCATAAAGTGCGTTAAGTGCAATCTTGAAATATTTTTATCACCAATTATGTTCAAACAAAACAAAATTTGCATACTTCTTCATAAAGTGGGTCTCCAGTGAGCCTACTGAGAGTACCAAACTCCAAAATGAAAGTACCTATACCGGCAGTACAGGTGACTGCTGTCTCACCCTTAGGAACCCCTTTTCGCAAGTTTATGGTGCCGTAAGGCATCCCTGTTTTAGTGTCAAAGGCTACAATTAACCTCTTGGCTACATCTTCAGCTAGTCTTAGTAAAGGGCCATTGCACGGCCACCCTGGCTCCAATTTAACACCTGCCCTAAGAAAAAATTAATTTAGCCTTAAGATTACTTACAAGTTACCTATGGGACAACAAATGCGCACTTAGAAGTCCGCCAACAATCCTTATATTCGTTTCAAAGACAGAAACGTTAATATTTGCATCAAAGTCGGGTTTTGCCGTTAAAATTTGAACGACTCTTTGAAACTCTGAGTGATTGCCCATGATTGCTAGTGTCCCCAAAGCATCAATTAACGTGAGCGAGTAACTAAAACGATTAATTAGACAAGAAACTGGAGCCGTATTGTAAGACACCTTCCGTAAGTATCTATTCCGTCACAACTTATAGGCCTAAGCTCATCGTAAGGGTATGCATATTTTAAATAGCTGTCGTAAGCATGATAAAACATTTCTCTTACTTCCTCTCTAAAAAATTGGGAAAATTAATACGAAAATATGTAACTTGACCTAACCTCAATTTGATTAAATCATTTTTTGTGTAAGTCCGGATGCCATTTGCTATATTAATTGTTGTAATAATAAGTATATAAAAAACCTTGTTGTGATTGAATAACATTTTGAGTGGGTAAAAAATCCGATTAAATCCATTTATTACGTGTTATGTCTGATGTTGACATTTTAGATAAGGTTAGAATTTTGACACTTGACAGAACGGACAATTTAATTTGAAATTTAAAAATTCTAGTAAAATTTGCCACTTTGGAATAATTGGTAAATAAACGGCCAATTTCACCCGACTTTATATTTTTTTAAATAATAAAAATTGTCCGTCTATCAAATAAAACCATAGGCGTTTCTTGCCCTAGTTTAAAAATGGAGCTTTTAATAAAACAAGTTTTGTTTGTTTTAATATGAAAAACTGTCCAGTTTTCCCAATTTGGTTCTTTTTTGTTTTGACCACTAATTTTTCACTTAATTTTTTGTTCTTTGAACATTTTTTCTCAATTTTTTGTCACCGCAAGCACTTTTTTTGCTAAATTTTTTCTAACAAAATTCTCAATTTTTATTTTAATCTTTAAATTCTGAATTGTCCAACTACATCATCATTACCTGTGATGTGAAAATACTTTGGGACAAAAGATGGTTAATTTTTTGACAAAAATCCTTAGGGCCACAAAACTAGAGGTTTGTTTTAACAACAACAGTTTTTTGCTTGTGTTGTATTTGAATTCGTTTACTTATGATACTTCTCCACGTCAAGTCAAAAAAGTGTTGTAAGTGGACCAGTTTGCAATTTCATTCATGGGTTAGTTGTGGGCAGGCGCGTGGGTCCGATGATTTCATAAAAAGTTTCACTAGAGGTTCCAAACAAATCGAATCTTTCGCCCGTTCCATCAGTAATAAATCTAAAGTGGTCGAGGCCCAATTTTGATTTTTTTGTGCACATGGACATGTTGTAAACAGTTACCACACTCTCCTCATTAACATGTAGGGTTGTTATCTTTATCCGAATGCAAGTTATTAGCTCCCACGTGTCCAAACAAACCCGTTTTCTGTTTTGCGTTGGTTCCGAAGGCGTAGAAAGAATGAAATCAGGTCTGCCCGCGTCTTCTTTCGAAAACTTGCTAATTTTTATAATGAACCTACAAACTATACGATTTCTCGTAAAGCGTGCAGGCGTTCACATTTTTGGAATTGTTGCCTGGGTGGAATAAATTACGGCGAAAGAGCACCATTATGGTGCGTTCAGGAGCGATTTTCAAACTTCGGAGGCCCTTTTCGAGCGAAATTTTTTACATTAACCCTATATCAGACTCAAATATTTCCGACAAGGGCAATTTCGGGTTTTTACGAGTCGCTAAACTGGAGATGGGCCCCCGAGTGTCTCTCCCGACAACAGCTCATTTCGATTAAAATTTTTGTACAAATAAACTGACACAAATGACCATGTTTGTTTGCAGGAGGCCATCATCGAGTTATTGACGTGTGGGTGCCCCATCAAGGCATAGTTGCAGCACATGGACTTCTGTTCTTTTATAGCATGTAATAAAAACTTTTCAATACACGTTGTACGAGGGATGCAAAAAGTGACCTTGTGGGTTATGTAAGTCAAATGACAAAACAATCGTACTTTTCTGTCTTTATTACAATTCATAAATTAAATGCAGTTTGACTGCTTTATGGCAGATCCGAGCGATAACACAATCAGCAACGATCTTGGGTCGCTGCATTGAAGAAATTTCTCGTTTTAATGATCTCACAAATCCAAAAAACACTAGTATGAAAAATACAAACACCAAGAAGCAAACGGTCGTAAATCTGCTTAATTTTTGGAATTTGTTCAACGTAGCAGTTCTTAGAATGTTTTTTAGAAGACCATTGCACTATAGACTAGAGCAAGACCAAAGTGTAAAAGAACAGGGCCGTAGCAAAGCCAGTGACCCCAAATTAGAAATTTAAGGTTGTGTGATTTCACATAAATCAAGAAAATGTACAAGAAATAGCATCTGTGAATATCTAAAAACCAAAAATAGCTGAAATAATTGCGTGTCGTTTCCGGGAACTGGATTATTTTCATAATCTGATTGGTATCGGGTAAGTGTCTGGTGTGTAGGTTTTACAATTCCACCTCAACAAATTGTGAAAGTATTCGAAATATAATAAGAATATAATCATTGATAGAAAAACTAGATTGAGGAGGAAGTAGCGTAGGTCGATCGAGAGGCTTCGAATTTTTTGTTGTGTTGAAAGCTATCCAATCCAAAAATAGCAACGTAAGTGGAAAATTCGTCATTTTGCATTCGCGATTAGATCGAAAATAGCGTCGTTTGTTTTATTTTTAATTGTGCTTTATTAAGGTCGTGCTATTGAATATTTCGTTGTCTATTAATAATAATGCTCTCTCCAAAAGCCACGTCTCATTCACTATTGGAATTGCAAAGTAATTCATCATTTGTTCTGCATCACGTGGTTGCGTTTGACTTAGACAGTGTGTCGACTGAATGGTCTTTTCTAAGAAGAAGCATAACAAATTTCAAGGAAAATCCTATTATATTTACATAAAAAGTTACACCCACTTCCTGTCAGTCGTCTCTAATTTCAAGCGATCGCAAGAAAATACTCATTTATGAAAAAAGCCAGTCACATGGCAATTCGCGACAATTGAATCAATTAAAGAAGCGAAAAATGGAATAAATTACGCAGTAACGCAGTCCATTTGATCCCTGAACGAAGCAAGCACTTTACATGCCAACAAAAATCTCCCTTGATGCCATTAAGACAATTACATTTTCCATAATTAATGAATGAATTGCGGAGAGACACCTCCAGAGTTCTCAGAATTTAGGTTCGTACACCCACGTTTCAGTAATTTAGCCGTATTTTTAACATCCGCCCACGCGTCTCGAATAAAGTGTCATTCACAACAAATTGGAGACAATGCCGGAGGGGCCACAGCAACCGCATTTTTCAGATTCGCGCTCCATTGTAAGCCCATTTTGGATCAATTTTTCGTACTGGGAAAAGTGCGCAATAAATAGATTCAAACTGATAAGTTCGAGGCCTATTAATGACGCCTAACATTCCAAAAATCTGCCAAGGCAATTACGATTTTTACGATAAACGTGGGAGGACGCTTTCGACCAAAGGAAATGTATTCTCGCCTCCACGCCCTGCTCTCTTTTCTCAACTTTGTTTCGGTAACCCTGTAAATCTTTTACGAAGAAATGAACAAAAATATACATGAATTCCAGCATTTTTAGTTAATAAAAGGAAACTAATTTGTAAAATGATTTAGGTATTAAACTTCCTATAATTTTAAAATTAAAGTGGTATCACTGGAATAATGGTAAAGGCATTACATGGCTGTGAATTAAGGTGACCAACTTCAGAAAATTCAAGATCAAGACATTAATAAAATAAAAAGTATGGAACCAAACATTTGTTGCTTTAACTATTTATTTTTTGGAAAAACTAATTGATGAATGATAAAGTATGTACTATAAAAATGTAATGTTTTAGCAAGAATAACATTTTTCAACATTTTCTTTTGTTTTTAAGTTTTACAAAACTTTTAATTTTTTTAAATAGCAACCCAATATAAAACCACGGATTACAACTATCTCCCTACTTTATATTTAATTTTTTTCAAAAACTTTTTTACATTAATTGCAATTTCGCCAAAAAAAAAATCGTATAACTCAAAAACATCACAAAATTTCGGTCTCAAAATACGATCACATTTTTTATATTACTTTAATTTATAATAATCATTATTTTCTGGAGGCAAATGATTAAAAAAAAATACGCTTTGTTCCATAATTTATATTCACCCTGTATGTATTTTATATTACCAATGCAAGTGTATTAAAATTTAAATAATAATAATATAATAAGTATACATATGGGAAGCAAAATATTGACATAAACAACAAAAAAAATCTTTGGATCCCAATCTAATAATTAACATATTAATTTATTATGTATTAATTTCAATTTTCTTCTGTATGAACTGCTTTGAAATTCCCTTCTTTACATTTTTTTTTATCTATGCAAGCCAAATTAATATTTAATTTGGTCCTTCTATGTTATTTTTAAGTGTTTCTACTTTCAGTGGAGTTTTTTCAGGGGTCCACACACATTGACCAAAATTGAAATGATATTTATTTAATTTTTAAATTGAAAGGCACTTCGTTTTTGCTGCAAATAATAATCTCAAAAACGGCACACTTATTTGTCCTTAAATCGGGACGTAAACGTAAAACAGGACAAGACAATAAGAATCTAAACTGGTCCTGGCTGAATCAGGACGGTTGGTCACCTTACTGTGAATGATTGTGGCAAAAAAATCTGTTGGCAACACTAAATTATCGATGACAACTATGTGACATTTGAATTTTATAGTCAATGCTGCCAAACTAAGATCCAGATATGAGGCTCACTTTCAAACATACGGTAATTTTTGTTTATACACAGCCTTCCCCATTTAATTTCAAAGTTAGAGGCTAGTTTAATGTAATAAAAATTATAAATAAAAAAATTATTTTAGTACAAAGTCTTAAGAACCGTTAACAAATTGTGAACTTTTCTAATTCCAAATCGCGTTATTTGAGGATTATTTGTTATTTTAGAAATGTTTCTTTGTCCCCTCGCCCCACCCGCTGAAAGTTGAGAAGTAAAATCTTGAGTGAACTTCCGGCGCAGGCCGATGTCTGTATAACCCAACTTCCGGTGTATTCACTATGCATCCTCTTTCACAGAAGCTGACTCATCTCGAACCTGCATTAATTCGACGGCAATGCAATCTCCGGTGATTAAACGCGTTTTATCCTAAACAAAGTATTAAATCGCTTTCTTATTACGATTCCCGACATCCGTTGAAACGTAAAACCTGGCGCGATAATTCCCGATAAGGCAAGGCCGGCCGAGATTCTTGTCGATAATTCAACTGGGACAGAAAACTAATTGGTAAAAGAAGCGGAAACGCCACAAAAAACACATCTTCACGCATTCAAAATGGTGCTGTGGACCAAAGCGGGGGGCCGCTCGAAGCACTTCCGGTGGAGGGGACCACGCCGTGGGAACGACAACGCCATCAAACCCATCGTATCCTGGCTCAAATCGAGCGACTTGAGTCGCCAAATCGGCGACGTGTTATCACAGCTGACAAAACAGGGACTTCACTCGAAACCTGCCAAAAGGACTAATGGCAGAGATCGTATCGTGAAAGACGGAACTTTCAACGATGAGGTCGTAAATGCAGGTAGAGTAACCAAGAAAATGGTTAAAATCGAACGGAGATTTACGATACTATCAATACTGCAATAAAATGGTTCATATTGTTTGTTATTGGGGTAGGAGGCGGCCACAGAATCGTAGGGACTTTCTTTTTGTCATTGATTAGCACGGTGAGGATGTAGTGCTGAAGCAGAACCAATGAGATAATTGATTGATTCTTCACGGAAGGTGCTAAATGTTCAGCTTTAAAAAAGCACTGAAGAAAAGCCTTAAATACTGTTCTGTTGTTTTCTCTCTTTTTCTCTGATACCATTTGCAATTAATGCATCCTTGTCTAACAGTGACAGCGTATAAAAAAAGTCGACCCGCACGACAGCTAATCGAATTAAATTTATACAATGTTGGTAGATCGACCGCTTTAATCCATGAAATAAATTAGATGTGCGTGCAATTAGAGCAGATTATTATGACATGGAGTATTTCTCAAAAAAAAGAAACATCCGATTACAAAGGTGTATCGTACGACGGCAGGAAGTAATTATAGCTAGTTATAGCTAATCAATTATTAACTGTACCGGCAGTCTCACGTTAGTATTCTAATCAACGTAAAAACGGAACGATCGCTAATATCGTGAGAAGAAATTTATATTGGCTGTTTAAAAGGCAAAAAAGTCTTTAGCTATAATAGTTAATAGAGTGGACACAACCATCCGCTTGGTAATGAAGTCGACTTCCATGACGGGGAAAAATGAATGAAGAGAGATAACAATGATTTCAAGGCTGAAAATCGGTCGAAATTGGAAAAAGCGAGCGTTTAAAGCACTCGCTTGAAAAATATTTGTTCGGCGTAAGGTCGGAATAGTTAATAAGACCTTGTAATACATGTTTACCTTTAATTCGCCGTATCAACAAGTAGGTTTTAATCGACGACGCATGTGCAAGTTAGGTAAATTATGAATGAATTGCACAATAATCAATGGAAGTAGTAATTCATTAAAATAATTTGACACTTGTGAGAAATGCGTTCGGCTTTCGTCCCGATCGCAACCGACTGTTCGTTGCATAACATTCTAAAATTGAGAGATTGTTTATTTTTAACGCGATATGGATAATCTCTACACAAATAACTTTCTAATTGGGATTATTAGTGATTTGAGGTGTACGAGAGGTTATCCGAGTTCACAACCCGATCCTCCGCCTATGGCAGGTAAAGCCCTACTCACACTCATTGATGCGACGATTGAATGGCCGCCGTTCCGAGAAATAACTATTTCAGAACGGCCACCGTTGCCAAATTTCTAACAACACTGGAAAAAAAAACTAATCAAGCGAGAAACGGAAGGCGGTGTGGTCGAGCTGTTTTTTGTCGGTTGAAAATTCCTTTGAATGAGGATGTAACCAGATGGAAGTCATCCTGCCTGTGTATAACTGGCGTTTCCGGTGGGTCACGTGACGTGTCTGTCGCAGTGGCGTCTCGTATTTGGGAGAAATGGAGAGAAATAAAAATGCGAAAGTAACTTCGATGATCTGTTGTTATTAACAACATTAGGGAATAACAACGACTTTGTCTTACTTTATATCATTAGATCGTCGGACGGTCCGTAAAAAGAAGAGCTGTACGTGATTTCCCGTTGAGTTTGCTATTTGTAGTTTCGGGTTTGAATAATCGGACTTGACCGGAATATCCGTACAGCTCCACTTTTTTAATACAATGCGGATCCAGCGGTCTAATTATATACCTTTATAAAATTACTAATTTGTAATATGTACAGTAACTATACAATTTGAGGCTTTTTTGGCACTCAAAAGTGAGAGTATCTCCCCCCAAATGACATAACTTTTTACGAAAACAAATCACGGAAACTTCCGGTGCATTTAATGCCGAAAACCGGAAGCGGCGAGTGATTAGTTTTAATAAAATTGTAGTTTACTTTACGTACGATACACACCAGCGCAATCTGTTTTTCCTCAATTTTGTTGAAACTGTTAAAATGGGCAATGTTGGGTATTACAAAGCAAAGAACGATAACTCTTATGATGTATGTTTACCATTACGAAACGATTGCGCGAATAAAGAGCGCATTGACGAGTCGAGTTTATCTCATTTTTCTTATCACAGACCCAGACAAACGCATAATACAAAATAAATTTGAAATACAACATGTAAAAAGCCGAATGTCTGGACTTTTTCGCTGTGTCAACGCGACTCTTCACAACCTCTCATAACACGATTAATTTTTTTTATTGTAAGTTGTTATATACGTACAAACTACTTGTAAATCTTTTGTTATGTTCAATACCGCCCACGGACCTGTGATTAAACCGCGTTCTTTCATCGAAAGCGGTCAAGATTTCGTCAGAATGAAAAAGAGAAAAGGATGTAATACTGTAGAAAGTCGAATTGTTAAGGGGTGGTTTAAGCACAGGTTTTGCAGGTGTGTTGTTGATGCGTACATCAGCAAACATACAGGCACACTCACACGACGATTGCTCTTCCAAAAAGTGCGCTTCTCGAAAATAACCATTCGATTTGCTAAAGGCCACTTCACAGAAGTGTCTGCATTCGAACAGATCTGACTAAGTAAGGGGTGACGAATTATGTACGAAAAATTGGAGAAGTCACACTGCTTGGAAGAAGCAGAACTTAGGCCAATCAGATTAGAATTCAGAGTCGAGAGTGCAAAACACACAGAGAATCTAATTTTTATAAAACAACAAAAACCCGACAAAATTGGAAATATTAAATTTATCAACCATTACAAAATATGTATAGATGAAATTTTTTCACTTAATGAAAAACCTTTTAATGAAGCAAGTTTTTTTTATATTAGAAGTCTAACGTAAAAATATGTTAAATGATCAAATTCCTTCTATATGTATTCTCTACATGTCTGTAGCATTTTTGTTTGTTTGTCTAATTTGACTGGCCATCTTAGAGCGCAGGACTAGATAATACTGGAGAGCCGCGGTGTTTCCGGTGCCCCCCTATTCCACAATGTATTTGAAGCACATCATTCCACTACAACGCCACCACGCACTTTATTTCTTCTCAGGGGCCACTCGGACAAGCACGGAATATCAAAATTCAGTTTGTTACACTTGGGTATTTACAAAAAAGAGAGAAAATAAATTAATTATAAAGTATAGTATAGGTACACATTAGGCAGTCGTGACGAGTCGTTTTCGGATCTCGTCGTCCGTCCGTAATACACTTTTGTCACAATAATAAATGTTAAAAGTCCGGTGTCGAGTCCAGTAGTCTTTTCTCGGGAGTGGTATTCGGGGGACGGCATCGACAGCCTGTCCTCGAATGCCTCGCGTAGCACTTCTCGACGACGTGTTTGCAGCCCCGCAGCGGCCAGTAGAGCCAAAGACAGGGCAAAACGAAGGAGAGGGCTCCCAAACAGCCCCAACGGGCGCGTCGGCGATCGGGACCGCAGCCACAGGGGTCGTCGGCGCAGGACTCGCCGTCCGCCTCCGAGCAGTGGTAGAAGAGCGCCTTGACGCAGCAGAGACACGAGGCGTAGTCAACGACGGAG